GGTAGGAAGTAGAGATTATAGTAAAGAAAGAAAAGTAAAGGGTAACGGTAAAAAACTAAAACTTACTACCTACTATATATATATATATATATATATATATATATAAGCCTAATTGGGCTTTGCCCAATGAATTTGACAATAAACATCAGTGAAAAAAGGAAAGAATGTGTGAAAAAATAGTCAACGAAAAAAGGAGAGAATGTGTGAAAAAATAGTCAACGAAAAAAGGAAAGAATGTGCGAAAAAAATAGTCAATGAAAAAAGGAAGGAATGTGGAAAAGTTTTTGTTGAAAATGAATTTATTTTAATTGTTAAAAAATGTACAGAATAGTGAAATATGTCAGCAATCAGCAGATTAGTGGCGCTGACTTTAGGTAGATCCTGTACATAAAAATAATTTTTCATTTTTTAAGAAAACTTTAATAATTCAAATACAGAAGAAACTAAATAGATAACTTTGTTTGTAACCTTGTAAACATGTTTTCTCAATTTTGACTCTCTCTGACCCCTCTCTCTCTCTCATACACACACAGTGTAGTAGTGATTCTTAACATACTGAACCAAAGTATTGATTTTCCCATAGACAGAAAGCTCTCTCTCCAATATCTGCAACGTTAAGGTTCTTATATACATGTTACAATAGGATTTTACCGAATTACTGATAAGAACGTTGTTTTTACACAAACATACTCATGCGCTGTTTGGCAACAGCTATGGTTCTTTGCTTTAGATTAGAGCTTTCTAAAAGGTAGGAATTAATTGTTTAGCAAATATCTGTAGCGTATGAGAAAGAAAGTAAGATGAATAAAAGTTTCTTTAAGTAACTTCTTGTACGATTGATATTACTGCATTTGGTACAAAGAAATTTGGAACGTACACAAGAGGAGTTGAAAACAAAATGACACCAAAAATCAGTTATTAATTTTAAAAAGTCATTAGTATTTATGTTGTTTTTTGATAGAACTACAAAATATTTCCAAACCTCTTAAAAACCCTACGTGACATTTCAAAATGTTTATGAAAGTACAGAGGCTCTATTCGATGACGAGAAATCCACTTTGAGACTAATAATGGTTCGAGACGGCTTGAATGGGTAATGAAGAAAAACTTTAATATAAGTTTAACATGACAACGTTTCGACAAGGTTTTGTCATCATCAGGTTGTCGAAACGTTGTACATTTGCTGTCATGTTAAACTTATATTAAAGTTTTTCTTCATTACCCATTCAAGCCGTCTCCAAGCATTAAGAGACTCTATATTAAACTGAAATATATATATACTATCCAGTACCCTAACAGACGCAGAAGAACATAGGAATAGTGACAACATATATTCCAAGCGTTTAGCATGAGCCAGTAAGCCTGGGAAACATAATAATCCTACCTTTACAATTCGTAAACTATTAGTTCCGAGCTAGTAACTGTGTATGATCATCCAAGTACGTTATTAATACATCAGAGGGTTAAACTAAATTACGCGAACACGTGCACTACCGTCACTACACCAATAGGATAACGGCGTACGTGTCATTACCATAACTAGATTAATCATCCACTTTATACACGATATCTAGAAATTGCTGAGGAAGATACTAGAAGCTGTCGAAACGTACAGCAGTGTTTTGAACTTTTATGCTTCAACAATTTAATTGTCTGGCACATACGTATTATAGTTTGTAGCTATGTTTCGCAGATTTTTAGAACTACGATATCGTGTAATATCGAACATTGAGAAGTATAAAACTGTGTTACTTTGATATGTTTGTGTATACAAATGAAATAGAAGGTATTGTAAGTGTGGTGTTTGAATACCTTCATATACATTATTATCTGAGTATGTTTTTCATTATACAACCCTGCACAGCCCATTGTTATTATTGGAGTATGTTTCTCATATATATTACCTTTGCACATGATATAGTGTATGTTATATTCATAACAACCTTCTCATTAATAAGTAATATCCACAGCTATTGTGTAGTATACATATGTGCAACATTTTAAATTTTAGATCTCAAACAACATTCAGAATTGTAGGCCAATTGATATATTTCGATGAATTTTTAACTCAATTCAACGCTATAAAAAACTTGTCTAAGACACGTTGATGTTGATCTTGTAAATCAAGTAGTATTGACAGGAAATTGACCTGTGCAATTAAAAACAGAATTGCATTGACCTCGTCAAGGGCGTAGTTTTTCTATTAATCTCATACATCAAGTCATTTAGTAAGTTCAACGATAACATGTTATATGAAGACTAATTATTCATAGTGAATCAGTTGCATATCTTGTGTTGTATATCAGTTGCACAGTTTGTATATACCATAGGACTGAATGAGTTGTGGTTCTAACACTGTTCTTGTTTACTAAACACAGTCGTGTAACATGTACTACCAACTGCACAGTTTGTGTAAACAATAGGCCTGAATGATTTGTGTTTCTTACACTGTTCTCGTTTACTAAACACAATCTTGTAGCATGTACTACCAATTGCACAGTTTGTGTATACCATAGGACTGAATGAGTTGTGTTTCTTACACTGTTCTCGTTTACTAAACACAATCGTATAGCATGTACTACCAATTGCACACTTTGTGTATATCATACGACTGAATGAGTTGTGTTTCTTACACTGTTCTTGTATACTAAACACAATCGTATAGCATGTACTACCAATTGCACAGTTTGTGTATACCATAGGACTGAATGAATTGTGTTTCTTACACTGTTCTTGTATACTAAACACAGTCGTGTAACATGTACTACCAACTGCACAGTTTGTGTATATCATACGACTGAATGATATGTGTTTCTTACACTGTTCTTGTTTACTAAACACAATCGTATAGCATGTACTACCAATTGCACAGTTTGTGTATACAATAGGACTGAATGAGTTGTGTTTCTTACACTGTTCTTGTTTACTAAACACAATCGTATAGCATGTACTACCAATTGCACAATTTGCGTAAACAATGGGCCTGAATGATATGTGTTTCTT